AGAGAGAGAGAGAGAGAGAGAGAGAGAGAGAGAGAGAGAGAGAGAGAGAGAGAGACAGAGAGACAGAGAGACAGAGAGACAGATAGATAGAGCAGAAAGCTGTGAGTTTACAGAGAACTGACAGCAGAGCTGCTCCTGGACTCATTTTACCTGCAGCTTTGTGTGTCTTTAAACACAACACACTGTTACTGTTACTACTAACAACAACATCCTGCTGACAGGTGAACAACAACAGGTAAACAAAAACAACAACAAACAAACAGCTGCAGAGGAATTCAGATTTCTACTCATTGATGTAAAAAGCTGCAGAGCTCTCTGCTTTCTCTTCTCATTAGTTACAGAACCGCTGAGCTTAACGACCACCAGAACCAGAACAGAACCAGACCAGAACCAGAACCAGAACCAGAGGAAAAGCTTCTGAGTTTTACAGCATTTCTGTGGTTTCTTTAAAGAGCAGCTTTTTCTCAGGAGGAAAACTGTTTTCAGCTCCTGTGGGTTTAAAAAAAACAACTCATCTGGACCCAAACAAAGCTGAGTCTGGGTCTGAGCCGGGACCACCAGTCCAGAACCTGTTCACCTGACAGCAGCCGGTCACTTCAGACCCTGTCAGAGGTCTACAGCAGGTTCAGGTCAGGATGTTTTTAATGACACGACTTTATCAACAGGTTGAACTTCCTGCCTGCCTCAGGTGTGCTGTTCACACCTGAGGCACACTGTGTGATGATGACAACAGGTTCTGTTGTTTGTGTTGTCAGAACATGTTCAGCTCTGAAACACGTGTAAGACCTTTAGTTCTCACGTTAATACTACAACCTGTCACTCAAAGAAATAAAGAAATAAAGAAATAAAGCTATCAGATCATATCGGAAAGACTAAAAGACAACCCTAATTTCATGTTCTGTTGACAACAAATCAGATTTATTAAAGTTGCAGCTAGTTTAAAATAAGGCTGTTAGCTTAGCGTTAAAGGGATCCATGATTAGCTGTAACATTTGACTTTATTTAATAAACATTTTAACTGTAAAATACAGACTAAAAATACTGTAGGATGTTTAGTTTTGTAAAGTTTAAAAATATATTTTAACACGGACGGAGCCATTTTATTTGCACACAAAGCATTCTGGGTAAATGATGACGTGGATAGG